GAAAAGATTTTGAGGCCATTTGTTCCCAGTAAGTGTCAGAGGATCAGAGCCCCCTGGGCACAGACCCACCACTATGCAGGCAGGCACTGTTAGCCAGCGTCCAGGGCCAAGGCACCTGGGCATTGGGAAGAGGGTTGATGGGCCTCAGAGGCAGTGGATAAAGGTGTAGACAGAATTTCAGGGATTGAAGGATTAACAAAAACAGATCTCAGGCTGGCTCCACTCTGGCACTGGGGGGAGCCCGATCAAGTACCCCATTCCATGGTGTGCCTGTATTGATCTCCCAGGCCCTGTCTCTAGGCCTTGGCCTCCAGGAACCTTGGACAGGTCCCTTCCAGGATTGTGTTTTAAAGGGAAATGCAAATCACCTGGAGGCGGCTTTGTGCTTGGAAGAAGTAAAAATCGATTCTGTTTTCGTTAAAGTGATTGTTGGACACTGTCAAAAGCTCTCTCATCTCAGAGCACAGGGTGACAGATAGGCTGCCGGTCTCAATTACATAACTGAGCCAACCAGCAGCAGCGGGCCATCTCATTAGGCACGGACACTGCTCCGTGCCCTTCCCTAAGATATTCAAGAGCAGCCTCATCCCATCCAGGCCTGAAGCTGGCCCTCCACGGTCCTTGTGGAGGCTTGCTTACAACGCTTCCTCCTGCATGCTCCCCTCTTCCCCCCAACCCCATTCAAGCTTCCCCCATGGACTGGCTCAGGCAGCCCAGGCCAATAGTGATGCCAAGCAAAGTCAAACAAAATTAAGAAAAATCTGCTTTGAAAAGTTTATATCACATAATACATTCCCAAACTAGTTATGTTGGTCTTATTTAATATTAGGAGTTCTATGTTATCCCTTACCTCTGTTAACTGAGATAATTGGGGATTTATTTTATTTATAGCATCAATTATGAGCACAGAAATTAATCCTTGAATGGTGCATTAGGAAACTCAACTGTCAAGGGGGCTCAAGGCAAAACCTGGCCACAGTGAGGGGGTCTTCCCCACCATTACAGGAGGCTGCAAAGGAAAGCCAGCCTCAAGCCCTGACAGCAGGTAAGCTGTTATTGTTCTTGTGTGCTTAAGGTATTTTGAAGAATTAAATAAGCAGTAATAATTGGCTACAGGAGATCCCTCCCTGGAGGACACCTGAGTAACTCATCAGCGAGGTGTTGGGAAAACAGGCAGAGATGGCAAACTGAGCCAGGAAGAGCGAACGCCTTCATTTGGCATATCGGCTCTCCGCACGGCAGCCGGCCTTGCTTTGCAAAGGAGCTGGAGACAGACTCTCTGCAGACTGGAAATAGGAACTTGGGGAAGGAGTAGGGAGAGAGGGTCTGGACAAAAGAGGGAGGTGTTTGCTGGGAGCTGTTGGAAGCAATTGGACCATGGCAGAATATTGGTCCTCGGTATTCCATAGCCACTCAGGGCTCAAATGCCAGTGCAGAGTAAGAAAAAGATGGGTTGAACAAGGTTACAATTAGCCAGTGAATGTGGTCAGGACAGAAACCAGCCAGGGGAGAGGGAACGGTTTCCAGGGTCGAGTCAGCACCTCCAGTAAGGGCAGGAAGATCCCCACAGCCCCGCGGAGCAGCACAGGGGATGATCTGACAAGAGTAAAAACTGTTCTCCTCCCTCCTGGGCGGCCACACCAGGTTAGAGCACACACAGAGCAGGTGCTGCAGGCTCAAATCTTGGATCCACCCTCGAGAGAGGACAGGTAGGTCTAGAAGGGACTGAGAACAGTATCAGGCCAAGCAAACGGAGAAGGTGCCCCATTCATACTGGCCCATCCATTAAAAGGCATTCTGCCAAGCACCTGCTATGTACAGCCAAGCAATGAGCCTGGAAATGGTGCCAACTGCCAGCTCAGGTCAAAGTCAAAGCAGCTTCACCCAGCAATGACCTACACCAGCCAGGGTGGAGGGAAAGAAGAAGGCTGCTTTCTCATTACTTGTTGAGTTTAAGGAAGACACCACTAAAGGCTTCCTTTCTTGCCCATTTGATTCTCCTCCCAGAGGCCAGACATTTTCATATACCGAGAAGGTAAAACAAACTTGTCCTTTGTTAGGTGTGGGGCAAGGAAGTCCACTGGGCTCACAGTAAGGGAAGCATGCCTCTCCCCTGTGCAGACATTCTTCCCTTCACTCTCTGGCAGAGGCTGCCTCTTTCTCCCCAGGAAAGTAAATGTGAGGCCACGATTGTCCATCCCTGATGCTGGACTTGACCCCTGATCCACACAGTGAATGCCAAAGGAAGTCAGCAATTTCCCCAGCAAGAGTAAAACACTGGATTTTGCTATAAAAGCAGCCATTAATTTCTAAGGCAGTATTTAAATTGCCCAGAAGGAAATGTTTTATTTATAAAATCTCTGGGTACCTAGTACAGTGCCTGGCATATAATACTCACTGGGCTGATGCTTTCCTGACTAGCAATATGACTAGAATAGAATATTACACCCTGAGGCCATAATAAAAAAGTAATAACCCTGAAGGTCTGATTTCTACTGAAGGGCCCTGATGGCGTGGGGACAAGTGGAGTGCTAGAGTGAAAGGAGAAAGGGCACTGGAGACAGGCAGACTGGTATTTGAAAAGCAGCTCTGCCCCTTATCAGCTATGTCTGCAGTCTCCAACCCTGGGCCATGGACCAATACCAGTCCGTGGCCTGTTAGAGACCAGGCTGCAGAGCCCTGCCACCACCTGCCTCTTCCATGGAAAAATTGTCTTCCATGAAACTTAGGAAGTGGGGGGCCCTACACAGCAGGATGTGAGTGGCAAGTGAGGGAGCAAAGCTTCGTCTGCATTTATAGCTGCTCCCCACCGCTGGCACCACCACCCGAACTCCGCCTCCCCCTCCCCCCGCTTCCCCCACCTTCCACCCACCCTCCATGCGTGGAACAATTGTCTTCCATGAAACTGATCCCTGGTGCCAAAAAGGTTGGGAACCGCTGACTATGTGACTATGGGAATTTCCTTAATTTCTCTGAGCCTCACCTTCTGCATCTTCATAGGATATGGAATTTTTCTTACAGGGCTGTTGTGAAGACAGAGAGAGAATATCTGCAAAGTGCTTAACACATAGCTGACACATCGTAGACAATCAGATGCTGTTACACTACTGATAAAAAGTAATGGGCAGGTGGCCAGTGAAGTTTCCATTGATGTCTGAGACGATCCTATTTGAACTCTGACACCCATCAACATGCACTGTTTTTCTCCCCATGACACTCCCAAAGCATCCCTCCAGTATCACGAGACCCAACGGGCACACCTGAGGGCAATGGGCAGTCAGAGCCACATCAGGAGCTTGACCAGCAGGGGGGCAGGGGGCACCTGGCCACAGGTGAGGTCCCCTTCAGGAAGGCGAAAAGGATGTTCAGGGTCAGCTTAGAAGGGATAAAGATGACTCTTCCTGACAGTCGCCAGCTCCCCAGCCCAGTTTATACCATTATTCCAAAAACATCACATCTGCCCCCTAAGCCAAGAGAAACAAGGTCAAATGACCAAACTTTCTTCCCCACTCTGGGGAAGCGGCTATCTGAAAAGAGAGAGAGAGAGAGAGAGAGTGTGTCTGTGTGTGTGTGTCTGTGTGTCTGTGTGTGTCTGTGTGTGTGTGTGTGTGTGTGTGTTGGAGTGCGAGGAAGGGGCAGGATGGCTCTGTCAGACAAGAGGGAAAGGGAGTGCCCCAGTCAAATGTGGCCTTCACAAATGGATGAGATACCCTTGCTCTCCCAGTTGCTACTCCCTCCCTCTGCCTCCCTCCCTCTCATTTGTGGCAGAATGACAAATGTAATCATTTTAAAAGATCCTGTCACCTGCTCAGTCATTCCCAATAAGTACCCACAGAACTATGGAAAAACCAACACCACCACCATGGGGTTTTGGCCAGGAGAAAAATCAAATCATCAGGATGCCACCAACCAAATTGTCAAAGACCAAATAAAAAGCTTCATGAATTCTCCATCAGCAGTATAACGCTTCCTGACCTAAGCAAATATAGACCTAGCATATGAATTGTGGAGGGATTTCGCATTAGCCTCAACGGCTTCCAACAGCTAAAGCGGAAACCCCTAACAAATCTATGTCTCCATAAAGCTGCCTTTATTGGCTCTAATCCTGTTAGGGTGCAGACTGTAATCTCCTTCCTGAGCCCCCTTCCTTTAATGGAACGGTTCACACCCCAGCACCATAAATGCATTTCGGTGACCTCAGCTAGAAAGGGGACTTTGGAGAGATGGGAGAGACAGAGTCACCGTGATCTCACGGAGCACCTGTCCCTCCCTCTGATGATATTGCTGCTTCTGTGTCTGACCACATGATCCATTCAGACCATCTCACAGTCGCCCAGGTAGGCCAGGTCATTCCATCACTGCCTCAGGCTGAGAAAGCAGGACTGTTCCTCCTTTAGTGATAAAAAACAAATCAGGTGCCTTGCTTTGCAGAAAACCCAAGTTCAGTGTCAAAGAAATTCTGCTCAGGGCTACTGCACCCTTGAGCATCTGTGGTAGCAGAGAAGAAAAGTAAGGCAAAAGAGAAGATGGCCTGAAAATATACTATTATACAAAGAAGAAACGTAGAAGGATCCAAAAATCGTGCCATTGGTGTCTTCTCTTAATGGAAATCTGAACCCTCCTTCCAACATTCAAGGAATTTCCCCCCAGCCCCCTTCTTCCCCACCCACTGTCCTGTCTTTCTCCTGGTGGCAACCCTTATATGCACAGACACATAAAAGAATGCAGCCATCTCCCCACCCTGAGGCATCACACACACACACAATGTAAGGCTGAAAAAAGAAGCGGTGACTTAATTTTTCCCAGTTGTATAAAATACATGCCCCACCTCAAAAAGAAAACTCAGTTCTGAGCAAGCTACCACCCCCAAACAGAACACTCAGGAGCGCTTTCCCCTTCAGATGCTGCAACTTCCCCTGCTTCCACAACCCGGGTGACAGGCCTCCTTCCTCCTGTCCCCAGTCCTGACAACACCCAAAGCTTCCCGGGCCATCCAACCTCTGCCCTCGTCTTGTCCACGAGCGCTGACTTACCCCAGTGTGGTCATGGTGACAATGGTGTACCAAAAAGAGGCAGGGATGCTCGTGAACTTGCTGGCCGAGGAGCCCTTCTCAGCATAAAACATCACAGTGGCAAAGATGATGATGGCCATGGTGAGGGAGAAGAGGAGAAAGCCCAGTTCAGAGGCACAGCTCTTCAGTGTGTAGCCCAGGATCCGCAAGCCCTGGGAGTGGCGGGAGAACTTGAAGATCCTGAAGACGCGGAAGACGCGGAGCGTGACAAAGGCCCCGGACACGTCCTCGTTGTCGGTCATGACCAGGCCGATGTAGTAGGGCATGATGGCCACCACGTCGATGATGCTCATCACGCTGCGGATGAAGCGGTAGCGGCTGGGCGCGGCGAAGAGCCGCAGCAGGTACTCCACCGTGAAGATCATGACGCAGGCGGTGTCCAGGCAAAAGAAGGCCACCGAGTAGCGCTCCCCGCACGGCAGCTCCTTGCTCCCCGGCACCGTGCCGCACGGCACCGTCTCCACCACGTTGGTGATGACCGAGACGGCAATGAAGAAGCCAGTCACGTAGTAGAAGACCAGAGCCATGGTGCTGGTGTGCGGGTTCTCGAAGGCCCGCCACATGGTCTGGCGGAAGCTGAGCGAGGGCATGGACTCCTGGTTGTTCTCCGAGTCGTTGTCGTCCATGAGCCGCTCAGCGTTCTCCCTCTTGCGGTCTTTGTACTCCTCGTAACAGCAGTCGCCGATGATCTCGGGGAGGATGCCGTAGAAAGCCAGCTCGTCGTCGTAGGCGGAGATGCACTCGTAGCGCGGGTAGTGCAGCTTTCCCGTGCGGTAGAAGTTGAGCACGCAGCGGAACACCTCCGGGTCGCGGTCGAAGAAGTACTCCTTGGTGTCCTCGTTGAAGAAGAACTCCTTCTCCGTGCTGCCCAGCAGCGTGTCCGGGTAGCGCTCCAGCGTGGTCCTCCAGGTCTGGAACCTCCGCCCGCTCACGTTGAGGACGATCAGTTCATCCTGCCGCTTGTTCTTGTCGGCCGGGGCTAGGGGCATGGGGCAGTTGGCCACCGGCATCCACCCGATGGCCGCGGCCCGGGCAAAGGGCAGCCAGGCTGCAACTCCGGCCGCCATGGCCACTCCAGCTCCTGGGCCGGCAGCTGCGCGGACACTTTGCACACCAGCTTGGAGTTAGTTCAGCGACCCCTGGGAAACGGGAGGGGAGAGCAGAGAAACGCGTGAGCCCATACTGATTCACAGGTAGGAAATGGGACACAGGGAAGGGTCATTGATGCGTGAAACGGCAAAACTCTCCAAAGCAAACGAATGAAGCCGAAATCACCACCACAGAGAAGGGACCTGGTGCTTTCCCGTCCTCCCCAGGTAGAGAGAGCACCTAGCACAGGGCAGTGCAGCTGGGTGAGATCACCAGATGTTTCTGACTGCCTGACAAACTGTCAAGTTCCAGGAGGGCTCAGGAGCATTTGGAGGGAAGGCCTCTCTAGCGGGAAGATCTGGGAAGACGCAGGTAATAATCAGCTTTGAAAGGTTATGGCGTTATTATGAATTTAAATTGGGAGAGGGTAAATGAGTTCTCATTAAACGAATTTAAAAGTGGGATAAACATGCTAATTTTTATTTCATTCTTCACCCACCAGGGGAATCAGGAATGGGGCGTAGATGAAGGAGATCAGGTGCACACATTCTTTCTACTCCTCCCTGGTGAGGAGGAGGCTGGGGCTGCCCATGTCTAGAAGATTCTCTGAGATGGCAGGTGACCACAGTAGGCCCAGGGCTTGGTCAAGCTTTCTCCCCAGCTCCCACAGAGAAGGCTGTCCTTGGTGGAGAGGTACTCTGTGGGACACTTGGCCCCCACTCCGCCCTAACAAACCAAAGGCCAAATGCAACCCCCAAGGCCAAGAACGAAAAGGTGGAAAGCCCAACAAAGGCCCCCCCCAACCCCCCAAGGGCCGCCTGGAATCCCGGGTCAACCGGCCTCCAAAGGGTGGCCCCCCCCCCCAGAGGAAGCTGATCCACGCTCACTGCCATCCCTAGATTCCTTGCCTCCTGTCTCCATCTGCCCACCCTCTGTTTCTCCCTCGGGTTATATAACAATACTCCTTCCCATGCCAGCCTCTCTCACCTGGCCCCCACTCCACCCTCAGATATCTTTCCAGAGCTGGGACACCTTGTCCCTTCACCCGCACCTCTCTGAACCACACTGTGTACACACTTCCCCATCACCTGCCTGGATGGAGGGAACAGTGACATGGGGAATTATATTTGGCTTTGGGAAACAGATTTACCTTCCCAAATCTGGCTTTTTAAAGATGATAGTGAAATGACTCTGCAGTCCCCAAATGTGTACCATCTGTGGGAAGGCATGTGGTGACACAGAAACACACGTAACGGCAACGGGAAATTGCTTGGGGTTGGCACATTCATCTCCACTAATCCTAAACTGATCACACAGAACGAATCCTAGCTCAGAATTATTTAGACCCTCTGGGATTCAGTTGTTTTGACTCTATGTTTAAATAAACAAGGCAGAGGTGAGTCTTGGAATATATATATTTTTTGTTACCCAAAGACTCGTAGTGGGATTTGATCTTCATCTCTGTCTGCAAAGCTGCTTCGCCTTCTCCTGACTTCCACCTCTTCTAGGTTTTTCAGATCTCTACCTCCTCTCACTCCTGAGCTGTCACTGGACTTTTCTACTTGGATGCCTCCACAACTGGACAAGTTTAAAAAGGACCTACCTCCTTGCAAAAAGCTGCTTTTCACCTTTTGCTCATGGTATCCCTAACTGCAGGCCTGTCACTTTGACCATCTTTCTCCAAAGAGTTGCCAAATAACGAGACCGTAGCTCTTACTGTTCTCACGAAGGCCCAAAGTCACTCTCACTGTCACCTCCTTTCTCCTGTTCCCCTGAAATCCATTGTGTTCAGAGCAATCTCCCTAAAGCAAGATTCTGATTGTGTTTTACCCCACAGCCTACAAAATAAAGTACAAACTCCTTGGCCTATTATTCCAGCATTTCTACAATAGATTCTGGCTTCAAATTCCAGCCCAATGGCCAAAACACCCATCCTAGCAAGCCTGGCTCATGGACAGACACTGGGGAGATCTGTCTCTGGACCACTCCTCCTGCTGATGGGAATATCTGTCACCTCCACTGCTCCTATTAGGATCCTACCATTCATCATTCTCTGTGATGCCTACTCCTCTCCCCACTATGAGATTCTCTCCTTCCTTTGGGCTCTCAGGACTTTGTTTACCCCTCCTCTCTAGCACCTATCACCCCCCGGCCAGGATTACAGATACTTTATACATGTCTTATTAGTAATAATGGCTGACAATAATTGAGCATTGACTCTACACATGACATTAGACTGTCTCCCAGGGATTATCTTATTTAATCCTCACAGCAACCCCAGGAAGAAGAATCTACTGTGTCTCCCATTCCACAGATAAGGAAAGCTAAAGCTTACTGAAATGTAGCAGTCTGACAACCCAAAAGTGCAGAACAGGGACTCCACCTGAGGCAGTTTGCAGAGTGCTGACTGTGTGCCAGGCACAGTGCCACATGCTTACATGGAACGTCTCAATCGATCCCACCAGCAACCCCATAGGGTAGTTGCCACTGTAGGCCTTGTTTTGCCTACAAAAGAAAGATGAAGCATACGAAGTTATAAGAATTATCTAAAGGATGTAATAAGCAGGCAGAGCAATTTAAACCCAAGCAGTCTCCATGTAGAGTTCGAGAGTATACCCTCTCTCCCGATTTCCCTATCCCACACTAAGGTCTTTAAGGAGAAAGGCCATGATGCCTCAACTTTTATATCACAACCCAGGAGGTAGCGCAGTGCACTGCATCGGTAGGTACTCAAGCCGAGAACCCTGGTTTTATAGACACTATTTGCATTCCATCAATTTTACTCCACGCCTTGCTAATGTATGTCACGGGTCGTTAAGGGTAGGTGTTCTCTCTCCAAACAGTAAATTCTGAAGACAGATCTGAATCAAAAGAATCCAGTTCAAGTGTCTGCCTCTGACCCAATGTACCCTCAGTCAAATTTTCTCAAGGAATCAATCTCTGCCTCAATTTCCCCATATGCATGCTAAGGGGAATTTTCATAGGTCCCTCTGCTCCCTAATAAAGGGAGGTTGGTTCAGTTGCTACTGAAGACGACAGGAATGACAATGACATTTCCCATAAGCATCACCACTCAGAGAATAGAAAAACAGCACAAGTCTGATGAGCTCTTTATTATAGGAACGGAGAGAGCTGAGGAAAGAATGAAGATGGTTCATCCACAGCAGTGGGTAATCCACCAGCCACTGACAGAAGGTTCGAGAACACATTTTATATCTGTCCTGCATTTTATATCTTTCTTCAAGAAATTTATCCTTATACCTAACTATACTTTCTTTAGGACTAGGAGACTTTGTAGCTCTTCAGCATACACTTAACTAGGTTTTCTAAGGGACAAGGGATGTTTGAGAAGCAAGCCCACAATTTAAACCCTGGTCATAGATTATTCCAATTCAGACTTAGTTAACATTTACTGAGCGCTGACAATGCTCTGGGAACTGTCCTAGGCACTTTTACACACAACATTTAACATATTCCCACAAAAATTCTGTGATGTAGTCATTTCTGCCACAGATTACAGGTAGGAGACTGAGATTCAGAAAGTTGCCTTCAAAGTGGCTAATTCCATGGGAGCTGACGATTTTCAAATAGACTATCAATCAGCTCACTGCCAAATGACTTTCCTGATACAGGTGTAGCCAAATACTGATGTTCCCTACAGGAAATAGCAGGATGCAGAGACTCCTCCCACCCGCTTCCCTCTTTCCCCAGGCAGCAAAGAGCAAGGGCTCATGAGGCCTTGCATTCCAGTTTCAGTTCTATCTCGAATTTGTGAAAGCAAGCCACTGTCACTCTCTGGGCCTCAGAGTTTTCATCTGTAAAATGAGAGAATTGGAAAAGAATGTGACAAGGGACCCTTTGGCTCAAATAATCCCTGATTCTGCTAGATCCAGGACATCAAGGCTGTAGCTCAAGTCTCACTGAGACCTCTTCATGACACTCGCCTATGCAAAGAGGGAAGCAGAGCATTTGGGCTTGTTGCTGTGGGGGTGGAGTTAGCCTGAGCCTCATCTTAGCAAACGGAGTTCTGGGAATTCCTGATAAGAATAGTGCCCAGAACAGGGCACACAACCTGTGTCACTTGGAACCCAAGGCAATCCAAGGTGTAGACCATCCATAGAGCCCCTGGCTACCCTCCTGGAGAGTAAAGGGGACCAGGCTCCCAGACTCAGGGACCTGGACTTCTGACTTTTAACATCCCTGCTTTATCCCAGAATGGAGCTCAGAGAGGCGAGACATTGAGGGGTCCAAGTGGCAAAGAGTAAAAGACCACCAAATCAGGAAGTACCCTGTGGAACCCTGCTTGGCCAGACTCTCAGCTCTGCCCCCTGAGAGGATATCGCCCTTACCCTTCCATTCTCCAAGTGCTGCTCCACCCTGACTCCTAACCCTTAATGCCACATACCTGCCCCTGCTAAGTGGAGCCCTATCATGCTACCCTCTCCACCCCACACCAATCTCCTATCCTCCAAGGGCCATGAATGAGTATTTTACGAACTGCTTTCAGACGAATACTTGAGAGCTCAGGGGAAGGAAAAAACAACCCCTCCCTATCTATCATAAAAGTCTCTGGTCCCACAGCCAAACCTTTACCCCATTCCTAATCCAGGACAATCTTCCTAAAGAAGGCCAGGCAAACACCAGGCTGTCTCCAGAGGCTCAGAACCTGTCCCCTGGTAAAACGTACCAAAAAAGGAGTAATTACCCCATTGCTACTTTGTGTGTGTGTGTGTGGGGGGGGGTTTGGAAGGGAAGGACAAGTGTCCCACCAGATACCATGCCCAAGGCCATATTGGCCATACCTGACACACAACTCTGCGGGTATGATCTGGCTCAAGTAGGACTTCTCCACGGCTCATACCACGGCGCTCACCTCCCGGAGCCAGCCTGGGTATGAATTCTTGCAACAGGCACAACAGTGCGGCCCCATTTCCAGCCAATGGCACTGCACATGCCTCAAATGCCAAGGTTTTACTAGGACGTGGACGCCTTACGAATGAAAAATCTGAAGCTATTTTTGTTTTTGGCAGAAAGGTTTGACAGTGGGAAAGATGTGGGGGGAAGGCAGGAAAAGAGATTTGAAACAGGTGAGCTCTGAAAATGAAAAAGGTAGAAAATCCTGAAAAAGGGAAATATGTTTTCCCCTGCTCTAAAAAGTCAGCTGCCCCATTAAGCAGCTTCTGTTTTGGAGGCGGAGAGCCAAAAGTGGGCAGAGTGACCAGATAGCCTGTCCTGGGGTTCGGCACCTAGTTGAGGATAGGCATAAGGTAGCAAAAATATCATGTCACCAGTCTGCCCTTCAATGACCTCAGTGGGGAGCCTCTGGAAACTTACTTTCCACAATCTTACATCACATCCATTAGCCCAGAATAGGGCCAGTCTGGGGACAGGAGAAAGTGTCCATGAGCCAGGGGGTTTCTCCTGTACCCACAAGACTTGGGTAGGTCAGCATAAAATTGACAGGGTGAACCAAGCTGGGGATCCTTGGGGCACAGGCCTGGAATGTACACACTGATCCTCTTCTCCGACAGTGCCACTCCTAGGCTGGCCAGGGCACTTTCCTGAACTCTTTTTTTCTCCAGCCTCCTCAACAGCAAAAGGGAACAAGCTACTAATCTTTCTTCCTCTGGGGGTCCCTTGTGTACTTGCATTTTGTTGCATTCAAGTAGCGACAAGGAAAAGCAAACACATCAATTCCCTTCTGTGTGCCAACATGTCCACATGGGGAAATGTACACATGCTTTGTATTGAATTGGTGCACGCCCAGGAGCCCTTTCTACAGACATTGAACATCCAGTCTCCCTCGAAGTAACGGTAAACAAGGCATAAATTTAACCATCACGTACATTCATGCAAAATACAGCAACGCACGCCTGGCCTTACAAGCAGATCACACTGTGCTTAGGACCCCGAGAAAGTTCAGACACTCTCTCCTAAATGCACGGAACCTTTTCCTTGCTGTAAGAATTCCAGGTCTGGAACCTCTGCCTGTTGCTAATATATCAGGGCTGCCCGGGCTAAAAGCAGAACATCTTGGACCTGATTCAAATGTCAACACTAAGCAAGCACAGGAATTTAGTTGATTCCAGGTAACTTCGCCCAGCCCCTCCACCCCCACCCCCAGTGTAAACACCTCGCAAAGTGAGTCTTTCTGAACTCCCCTCCCCAGGGCCGCGATGGCCCTCGATGTCACGCAGAGACCTTTCCCAGAGCTCGCGGGGTGGAAGCAGCGTCGGGCAGGACCAGACGTACGGGTCCCCAGCCTTTGGTAGGCACATCGCCAGCTTGCGGGGCTGGAGAACTTTGCGAAGCGCCCCAAACCGCTCCTGGTTTCCACTCTCAGCCATTTCTCTCCTTCTCCCCTCACAAAGAGCGGGGACCGGGCAAGCCTTCGCCACCTGCCTCGGGCACCCGCCGAGGGAAGGCAGGCCAATGGAAAGAGGGCAGAGGTTCACACCCCACCCCCAAACCTCACAGCGCCTCGCTGTCCGGAGGTGGCTCCACAGCCCGAGGGAGCCGACGCCCCCAGGCCGGCTGCCTGCTCCCCGCGGCACGCGCCCCACCCCCAATCTTTCCGGCGCCCCAGCGCCCACCCACCCGGGCGCGGGAGTGGGAGGGTGCCGCGTGGGCAGCCGGAGCAACAGGCGTGGGAGCAGCGCTCCTCGCACTTCCTGGCTCCAGAAGGCTCGGTCGCGTCCCTCTTACCTTCGGCGAAGCAAGCCCGGGCCCCGCGCCCCGCGCCCCGCGCGCGCGAGGAAGCTGCGGCCGGGAGCCGGGGGCCGCGGAGGCGCCGAGCGCCCAGCAGCGCGGGGAAGCGCCCAGCAGCCGCCGCTTGCGCGGCTCCTCCTCGCCAGCGAAGTCTCGCTCGCTCCCTCCCTCGCTCGGTCGGTTCGTGCGTCCGTCCGTCCGTGGGGCCCTCCCTCCCCCGCCGCTGCCGCCGCCGCCGCCGCCGCCACCGCCGCTGCTCCAGCCCCGGCTCGGCAGCGCGTCCCTCCCCGCCTCGCCGCTCCGCTCGCGGGCTCGCGGGCTCCCTCGCTCGCTCCCTGCCCCCGCCGCTGCCGGCGCCGTGCGGACCGGAGCCCGGCCGGCCACGGGCTGCCTCTCCCGAGGTCCCTCTCCCGAGGGGGTGGCTGTGGGGGCGCGGCGCGGGCGGAGCGGAGCGGAGAGTCCGGGGGAGGCGGCGAGGCTGCGCCCTCGGCTCCCTACCGATCCCCGCGGGCCGAGCGGCCCCAGGCCCGGCCGGAGAGCTCCGAGTCTCCAGGCAGCGGAGCGAGCGAGGAGGAGGACCCGGAGTCTCGCCGCGGGAGGGTGCCCAGGGCGAGGGCGTGCGAGGGGGAGTGACTCCGCGCGAGGGTGTGTGTGCGAGTGTGCGTGTGTCTGTCTGTGTGTGTATAGGGGCGCGCGCGTGAGCGGGGGTGGGGAGACGAGGCAGAGCTAGTGCGTCTCCCCGGCGAGTGGAGGAATCCTAGGGTGTGCCTGGAGGTGGCGGAGTGTACCGACGCGGGTGTGAGCGCCTGTGCTGGCGAGGGTGGGCACGGGGGAGCGTGGCAAGGTGAGCTTGGCTTGGGGTTAGGGGAGGAGCGGAGAGTACGGCGTGAGCGTGAGTTCGGGGGCGTATGTGGCTGGGGACCCGAGCAGAGGTGGCGGGGAGCGCCGGCGTGTGCGCGCGCGGAGTGTGTGCACCTAACTGGGTGTCTCTTTCTTACCGACTGTCCACACGGCAGCAGCACCGGCTTGACGCCAAGCCCGGCCGCCTCGGAAAGTGGAGCCCGCCGCCGCCGCGCAAGCTTCCTGGCTCGCCCCAGGCTCTTAGCTCGGTGTGCCGAGGCTGGAGAGGTCTCAGGGCGACGTACTGCCCTTAGCCTACGTAAGAGCACCCTTGGAAGGTCAGGATTCGCCCTCCTGTCCCGCCACATGTTCCGAGTACCCAGAACCGAGTCTGGATTAGGGAGCGTGAGCTCTCACACCCGAACCAGTCCCCTTCCTCCTGGAGCCGGCCCAGTCCCCACTGCCCTGTGCCTCGCCTGCCTGGGATGAGGAGTGGGAGGTCCGCATGTGCCCACAGACCGGGTATCCGGCCTGGATTCCCACCCTCAGGGCCGCGGTGCGCGGAGGGCGCAGTCCCCGCCGCTGGGCGGACCGGCGGCTCCGGCTTTCCCGGTGTGGTGTCTCCAGCCTCTGTGCTTGGAATCCCGGATCGTGGCCTGGCACTTGGGAGGAGAGGCAGCTCCGTGCCTCGGCAGGGACGCGAACGCTTGGCTTGAGCGATCACAATTCTGGGGGTGGAGAGGTGCGTGCCGCGACAGAGACCTAGAGAAATGCAAAGTGTGCGGTGACCGCGAGGGTGTGCTTGAAAGGGCTGTTCTAGATCCGGGGCTGGAAAAGGACCTCTCTGAGTCCAGAACCGGGCTTCTGGCTTGTGAGAACCCCTAGCCCTGTTCCAGATCCAAGGGTGGGGCTTGGTAAATTGTGGTCAGAGCCCTTGTAGGAGGGACCCTGGCAGCTTAGAGCCCCGCATTCACTCACTCTCGCACTCTCCCCAAAGCCCCCTTCAGAGTGTCCGTCTGAAAGGTGCACAATTGGCCCTTCAAGAGGTGGGCGTGGGCTTCATTAGCATTTGCCAGGAGTCCCGAGATTTGCATACAGTAATAATGATTAACAACACTGCCACTCCCTGGCAGACAGGGGAAGAATTCAGGGAAGGCCCTGGCACTGCTCCCACCTCCCTCTTCTCTTCCCTCTGGGGAAGAGCTAATTTTCTCACTACTGCACACCTCAACCGCTCTGAGCCCTGGGAGCCTGGGTGGTGTGGTCTCAGGAGGGGCACTTTCCTTCTGTCCTCCAGCCCATGTTCAACTAAGAAGAGTTAAAACGCAGTATTTTATTTCTGCCCAGGTTTGAACTCCGGTACATTCCCACCGTTGTTTTGCATCTTGAGGGCAGCTCAGGGTCTGGGTCTGCCTCGAAGCTTGGAGGCTTTGGGGGACAGTTAGCTGGGGACATCGTTTCTTCCCTGGAGAGGTCAACTATTGGGACAATTGTGACCTCCTAGGCTTTGTAAGTCCTGTTTGAAGACAGGACACTGGTTCGGACACTCCCCTTCCCCCCACTCGTTCCTCCCAGGCTCATAGCTCATTGCCGAAGTGAAGTAGCTGCAGACCATTCTCTCCTTTCTGTCTTGAAGATCCAGAGGAAAGTATGAAAGACTTCGGTTTCTAGTCCAGGCCAGTGTGGTTCCTGTTTACCAGCCCTTCCTACAACCAGGTGACCTGGAAAAATAGGAGAGAGCAAGTGATGGGGAGGAAGGAGGTCCCTCAGCTCTGGCAGCTGGAGGAGCCGCTGCCCAGGAGTGCCGTCCCCCCCAGCGGCACCCCCAGCCCTCCAGTGCATCTTCCCAGCACTGCCTGTGCTCCCCTTCCCCCTCTCTGCCTCCGGCCCGGCCTGGCCGGGATTTTCACTTGCTTTTCCCCCATGACACGGCCGCTTTTCCTTTAACTCTCAGCTTCTATTTAAAAAGCTAATTTGGGAGCTTGTCGATGCTCCCAATTCAGACATTTTAAATAGGAACTGAAAGTCAGGAGCTGCCAGGGCACTAGATTTCCTCCCCTTGCCACCAGCACAGGCGAGGCATCTGTTCAGTCACTCCGCTGCCCTGGCCGTGTGTGTCTGTGTGTGTGAGCACCCGCGAGCTCAGGGTGTGTTTCAGGCTGTCTTTTCTATTTAAAGACAGTGCTCCTATAGATGACTATTCTTTCTGTGTGTGTGTCCTTTCCAAGCTGTGCACACACGAGGATTCTTCTTTAGACCCGTGGCTCCGGCCGCTATTTGCGGAGCTTGTCACCGTGTGGACTGTGAGGGTAAGAGGCAGCCCGGCTCAAAGTCAGCCGCCTCTTCGCTGACATGCCGGGCTGGTGTGTCTGCGTGGCTGTTTCCCAGGGCTGCTCTGCTCAGGCTCATTCTTTGAAGCAGTGCCTCAGAGTGTCCTTAAAGGTCACTCCCACCCTCACTGCTTATAGCTGTCCTAATCTGCCCCATACCCGGGCAGGAATTTGGGGGCTGGGGCTGTTCCTCTGAGAGTGGCAGGCTTTCTACATTCAGGGTGCTATGTGCCTTGGAGGTAAAAGGCACAGACTTTGAGATCAGACTGCCTGGGCTTGAACCTACCTTTGCTGTTAACTAGCTGGGTGACCTTGGGGAAGGGACTTAGCTTCTCTGTGCGGTGACTTCCTCATCTCTAAAATGGCAATAAATAATACTATCTACTGTGAAGACCAAATGAACTATCACAGATGAAGTGTTTAGAAAAGTGCCTAGAACATGGAAAAGACAATGTAATTGTTGGTTGTTTTTGTTGTTCAAGGTATGAGTGGTGCGCTCAGGAAGTGCAAAGAAATCTGCCTGAGGAGGAAGATAGATCGTACTGGATTGTACTGGATCTGCTGGATCGTACACACACACTACACATAGTCACAGACACATCCACGCACGTGATAATAAAAATGCCAGGCCACAGCCCACAATGGGTCGAGTTCACCTTGTTGAGATAGCTAATTCCCTAAGCCCCAGAAAAGATGCTTCTGGTGAAGGAATAGCAGAGGATTGTAGGGATGGGGGTGAGGAAGGGCTCAACCACGTCAAAGCCCATGGGGCATTTTCTGGGGGCCAATTTCATGTTGGAGAAATAAGTCCCCAGGACCCTCCCTCTCCACATGGCCCCAGCCACCCTTATCTACCCAATGACATCCTGCAACGCTTTAGGAAAGTGCAACTCCAGTGAGGGACTCAGGAGGGGTGGCTTCTCATTCTCCTCGAGTCTCCCCTGGGGTTTGGGGTCCTCTTACTTCAATCCTGCCGTTGCCTCCCATCCTTATTCCCACAGCCGGGCATGCGAGCATGTCCTCAGTTGCCGACAGAGTTCATTTCACCTCAGTTCATGAGCGCAGAAGGGGAGGAGATGGGGACCCAGGAGGCTGCCAACAGGAAGGGGAGTTCTGAGGGACTGAGAAGAGGAGGGCTGTCCAGGGACCCAAAGCAACATTGCAAGTCTTTGGATTGCATCAGGCTTAGCATATCAGCCTAAAGTGGAGGAGTCGCCATATGCTGGGCTCCTTGCTAGATCTTCGGTGCCCCTGCACTGCTCATATTACCACCATTTTATAGACAGGAAGACTGAAGGTAGCTGGTAGAGAGGGGCGCTCCAGAGGGATGTGAGGCTGCATAGCTAGGGGGAAGCCCCGAACTCTCCCTCTGCCACTCTCCCAGGATGCTGGCTTTTCTCTCTTCTGAGAGTAGAGTGGCCTCCTCAGTCAGATGGAGGGTCTATCCTAAGAGGTCACTCTTGATCTGGCTCTCTTGGCCTCTCCTGTGTTTGGCCTCCGTAGGGTTGAATGTGAGGTAGAGGCTTAGTGTGTCTCGGTTTGGGACGTGCCCTCTGAGTTTTCTTCAGGGTGAAGTTGGCCTGAGGAGTTGGTGGTGTCTGGCGTTCTCTAGTTTTCCAAGGTGAGGTAGGTGGAGATGATATAAATGCTGAGGAGTTTTGCCCTCACCCTAGAAAGCCAGGGGGCTGCCTGCTGGGTATTGGCCTAGGATGTCCAGCTTGGCCAGGCCAGGATGTGCTGGTGGCCCTGATGGCTGAATGCTCACAGCCATCAGATGCTTCTAGTCCCTTCCTGATGGTGGAGAACCCTCACTTCCTCCAGCCCTAACTCCATTTGGGAGGCCAGCGGTGGCAGGGGCATCTCATTAGTCAATACGCTCCGGCCAGTTATGGCAAATGAGAAGCCATCACAGTTGCTGGGCTCCAGTGCATCTCTGACAGTCAGCCCTTCCAGTGGACCTTACGCCAGCCTGGCCCCTGCTCCACCCGAGGCAGATCCTAGGGGAGGCATAGCTCTGGTGGAGGGTTTTCTGCTTATCAAGACCTCTCTTAGAGGTAGAGGCCAGGGAAGGAAGAGGAAGGAAGGAAAGGAGGAAAGTAGGTATGAGAAGGGGAGTCAGGTACTGGGAGGAAAAAAAAATCCTAACTGTTTGTTTAGTTTCTTGCTAGAAAATTTGGAGAAGGGTAGGTGAAAGCTGGGGATAGAGCTCTTAGGTGCACTGACCTTTGTTTTCCGCTGCTGGCTCCTTTCTATCTGCCCTTTTCCCTGGAGAGTTTGTGCAAGCCCAGGGTTTCAGGTTCACTCATATGCTTACAATTTCTTCCTGAGCTCTCCCTGACCCCGTGACTGTCCACCATGCATCTCCATCTTTGTGCACAGGCACCTCGATGCTTCCTCTCACCACCCTCCTTCAGCCTTCTGCAGTCAGTCGTTTCCTCGAAATACCCTGTTCTGATCATTTCACCTCCCTCACTTCCTTTCTGGCCCTACCTTCTTCCACTCACTCACTCACTCACTCCTTTCTTTCTAACACATAGACCTTTTCTCCATTACCTGACAAAAATCTCGTCCTTTCACATCTTCATGCCTTTGTATATGCTGTACCCTCTTCCAGAAATGCCCTCTACCACTTCCTATTTCTTTTGTCTTCCTAGCAAACTTCTACTCAGCCTTAAACCTTAAATACCCAGTACAAAGGTCACAGAAGAAGTATTGGTAAAGTCCTCCCCCATACCCCAGGATGAACTAACCTTTCCCACTTTGGGCTTCCCCAGTCCTTCCTGCATAACTCAAATATGGCTCTTATGACCTGTTCGGTCTCAACTGTCTGCATGGTAATATCCCTCTCTTTAAGCTGTTTAAAGCAAGGACCATTGTCTTAGCTATTTCTGAACCCTAGCTCAGTGCCTGGCACCTTGCAGATGCTCAGTACATTTGCATTATGAATTTATTTCCACCTTCATTCCCATGACTCTCTTGATTGTATGTAACTGAAAATATGCGATAAATTTGTCAATCGGTCAGTCTCCAAGTCCTATCTGATTGATCTTAAGCACTAGCATGAGGACAGAGAGAAAAGACGAGGGTGTTTGATTTTTGGCTGGTCCTAGATGAAAAGAGCCCCAAAGCCCTCCTCTTCCAGTGGGGAGGGAAGGAAAAGCTTTCTGGATCTACAAAGTGAGCCTCAGTCAATGCTGCCTGCAGAGACCTGGCCAGTCGTCTTCTCTTGAACCAGATTGGTTTTCAGGGAACTCTTTTTTTTCCTTTCTGGCAGAATGTCAATCACATACCCAGAATATCACCTCTGTGGGCACAGCCAGGGTATCGTCAGTTGGAAATGTCTCTGGTTGCCTGCAGCAGTGACTGTTTACCATAAAACCAGTATGGAGGCCTGTCAAAAACCCATTCGCCAAAATCCCTAGCATGGCTCAAGGAGATGCCAAGACCTTTAAGTATAAAATGTACGAAAACCACATCAGCAAATCTGGGACAGTGGAGGCTTAGTGCTGTGAACACGGGCTCTGGGCAGAACTGGCTTCACGTCTTGGCTCTGCCATTTACCAACTGTGTGACTTTGGGCAAGCCACTTTACTTCTCTGGTATTCAGTTCCCTAGCCTGCAAAATGGGTTACAGTGATGACATCGACTCATAGGCTTTGTGAGGATTGAGTTAGATAAAGCATACATATCTCATGGAAATGACAAATAAAAATGTTGGCTGTTATAATATTGCAACTGAATCTACACATGTCTGAAACTAACTCTTTTAAATCTTAGGCACAGCTTTATAAACAGTGCTTGTTTGTGAAGAAGTTTAGGCAGGTCACCTGAGTTCTTTCCATGTGATTATTGTTCATACTGGACCTTAGGAAATGTGTGAAATCAGAGAAGCTTGTCCCTACGCGCTTTTCACATTGGTTCCTCTCTCCATTCTGTGGAACCCTATTTGTCAGCCATGCGCTTCAGGTGCCCGTTTCTCTCATTCAGCAAGAACTGATAAAATTATTTAAACTAATGTGTGACTATCTCATCCAGACATACGGTATTCCCATTTCAACAGACTATGCCTTAAGGCAAGGCAGTGAAATAGAGTAGATGGGGCTTCAGACATTCATCAGCGTAATGGGGAAAGTTTGGGGGGGCTAAGGAGGCTCTTCCTGACTCCACGGAGTCCTGTGCTCTCATAAAGCTGGTCCTATTGATGCAATTATAAGCAACAAGATGAGCTGTTTCTGAACCCTACAGCTAGAAAATCAAGTTTCCACCTTTTGCAAAGTGTTGTAATAAGGGAATTTGGGCACCAATTTTATGCGCCAACCTCCTCTTGGTAAACAGACATAGCTTATGATCACCAAGGCCCCTTCCAACATGGTGCATCTATGATACTCATACTCAAGTGCCTTTTTTCTTAAGAGGTCTGGGCTGAGGTTGGGTGTTTTTGCCTCACTGGGTTTGTGGGAGACCCAGCTGCAAAATCATCAATTGCTTTAGTGAGTCAGCAAGTAAAGAACAGTCCAGCTACTGTGCCCAAATTGCAAAGTCATAGGTGGTTTCTGGAGTTCTCTACAAAATCCTTGTTAAAGGTAGTCCTCACGGCTCTTAAAGTTCTTTATTACGGAAAATTTCAAACATGTACAAATGATGAGAGAATTGTATAATATACTCCCCATGAACCTATCATTTAGCTTTGATAATTATCAACTCACGGCTAATCATTTTTATCTATACTCCACTCACATACTCCCCCCAACCCCCGTAATTTTGAAGCAAATTTCAAATATAATTTCATCTGTAAATATTTCAGTAGTTGCATGCTTGTTATGGCCAACAAAATCCATCTCTCCAGAGGAGAAGTTCTTCTTCCCTCCCCTCAGGATGCTAAGAACGTAGAACGTTTGGCCAGTACCTACATCTGTGCCCAGGAGTGGTCCCTGGTTTAGGCAAGTTCAAGGGCTTACTGAATGCTATCCAAAGTCTGTCCTGTTCCCTGGGTAGAAAGAGGCACCCATAAAATGCCTAGGAGTGGTGTCTCCACGTGATTTGGTGTCAGCAAGGTTACTGCCCAACAGCTGTGATGAGGCCCAAGCTGAGAGGCCAGAGGTACAGTCATGAATCCTAACTGGATTCATCATTTTCACACACATTGCTTCATTTGGCTTTCATCAATTCTTATTGCACTCCCATTTTACTCCCATTTCACAGATAAGAAAACTAAGACCTAAGGCCACACAGCTAGTGTGACAGAGACTGACTAGATGCTATTCAAATTCGGTTCCTCTTTTCCACGAACACAGTTAGATTGTATTTTCCAGATTCTCTTGCAGTTAGGTTTGGCCATCTGACTAAGTTCTGGCAAGGTAATATAGGCCAGTCCCGTAAAAAACATCCAGGGCAATCTAGTACGTTCTTTCTTTCTCCATGCATTGGCTGAATGGAGAGAATTTCAAGGGCTTAAAGAGGGCAAGGAAGGAGCCTGGGTCCCTGGATGACTATGTGAAGCAGAGACCCCTCTGAACTTTCTTTGGACTGTGAAATGAGCAAAAAATAAACTTTTATTATGCTAAACTGCTGAAATGTGAATGATACGTGATGAAGTAGTAAGCCTACCCCGACCGATACAGTGGCACAGATAGGATTTAAACCCTGCTGCGTCTGACTGCGCCTCTGTTCAGAATCTTCCCCTACGCCACACGGCCTCCAGGCACAGCGAAGAAGAACCACTTTTAAGAATCTCCTGCATGCTCGACGTTTGATAGAGCTGTCTTCAAGGACCTCACACCTTAGATTTGTGATAGCCACTAGCCATACAGGGCAGTTTAAGGTTTAAATTAATTAAAATTAAATAAAATTTAAAATTCAGTTTCTGAATTGCAGTGGTCACATTTCAAGTGCTCAACAGCCACATATAGCGGACGGCTACCACATTGGACAGTGCAGATAGAGGACATTTTCATCGTCACAGGAAGTTCTGTTGGACAATGCACCCTACCCCAGGCCCCTGCAGAGAAGCTGGAAGAAGCTGGGGATGCTGTTCATGGGAGGAGAGAGGGTGGTCTAGCCGGCAATCAGGTTACCACAGGCAGAAAGTCCTGTCTCCTGCTTCCAGCCTTGGGTCTTTGTTCCTGCCTTTCCCAGTCAACTCTCTGGCTATAAGCTTGTGGCCCTGTACTCCCTGGTAACATACTTCAGATGTGACTTCCTCAAACGGAATGAGCCCTATCCGCCCAGGGCTGCGTCTCTCAAGAGCAGGATCGACAAGCCATTCTCCTAGCACCTGCACAGAAGCTGAGCGTCAGGTACCAAGAGACTGGCAGAGGACCCAAGGCTGTGCTTCCTGGCCTGGACTAGGGATAGGGAGGGAATTTTCTAAAAATGGAAACCCAACCATGGAGGTTGGTACTTCAGTTCCTTTGCTGCAAAGTAGCCAGGGCAATTTTTCAAAACATACCCAACCATGTTGCCCCTTGCTTGAAATCATTCTACAAGCCCCATTGCCTGCCCTCAGAATTGAGCAAATATATCTCAACAGGTCACCTGCTTTTATCAAATCCTTGCTTATTTCTGCTTTTCCACTTTCCACTTACTACTCCTGGGCCCTTTGAACCTGGTGATCCTGACATATGGAAAGAGCTGAAAGTTCTCCAAAGCCCCAAGTTTCCTTGTATCCCATCCAGAGAGACTGGAATCTCCAAAATCGTAAGCTAAAGACTCCTTAACTAATGCCTGAGTCAATTTTGCAAATATAGGTTCAATGTTAGCAGGCTCCCTCTTCACTCCACATTACTGAAGTGGACAAAGAGGGAAACACACAACGGCCCTCTTAGTGAATTACAGCACTGCTTGCATTGGTGAGGAGGCAATGAAGGACCGGATGGGAAGTGAGTTACAGACCATTTTTCTCTATTTTCTCTAGAACATTCTTTTTACTTCCCATTTTACCCTATCCAAGTGCTACTGAGTTGAATGTAAGTCCCGATTCACGGTACTGTTTTGGCCAGAACACACGAGCATGCCTTGTCTTATCTGTAACCTCTGCCTCACCTACGTGTAAACAGTGGAGCCTGGCATTCAACAAACATTTTATTTGAACTGATAGGTCTTTATCCACTAATGTCAGCTAACAAACACTTATTAAACAACTCATTCATTCACTTAACACACACTTCTTGAATGCCCACAAATTGCTGTGTTGGGCCCATGGTAGTGAACAAGATAAACACAGGCTCTGCCTCCTTGGAGCAGAGTTCATGATTTAAAGAGAAAGACAGTCAATCTGTGCTCTGCACCGATGCTTAGGTTTACTAAAACCTAAGCTGGGCTCAGTGAAGCCTTAGGGGTGAAAAGAAGTTAGACCTACAAATTCTCAAAATAATCCCATGAGATAGATCTACTATTATTCCCATTTTTCAGATGAGGAATTAGAGGCAAGTGTCACACAGCTAAAGTAGTGGTGGAGCCAGCACATGTGATAGGGATGTGCGTGGACTCTAGGGAAACACAAGGAGGGGGCACGTGGTCCAGCTTGAGTGGTCGGGAAAGATGCTCTGGAGGAGATGATATCTGAGTGGAGTCTGGAAAGAGGCAGGAATCCACCAAATGGGCAAGAGGATGATGTGAACACCAGGCAGAGCAAAGCTATCAGGGTCTGAAACATCTCAGCCAGAGGTGGAGCACATCCGGGCCAAGGCTGAGGAAGCCACTCCATAGAGGTCTCATGTGACAGGCTAAGGAGCTGGACTCTATCCTGCAGGCCACAGGGTGCCACTCAGGGCTTCAAGCAGATGCATGGTGCAGTCAGATCTTATTTAAAAAAAACACTCTGGCCCAGCAGTGTGGATAATAGATTGGAGGAGGACCAGATGGGAAGCAGGGGGACCAATTAGCAGGCTATTGTGCAGTATTCCAGGAGAGGGATGAAGAGGGATTCAACTAGGGCAATGGTACTAGGTATGGACAAGATGGGGAATGAGATAAATATATTGGAGGCAAAAATGATCAGGACTCTGATTAGCTGGATATGGAACAGCCCAAGAGGGTCCCAGATCAGGCTGTGCTTCCTGGACAGATGAGAGTGCCAGTCTGGGGCACAGGAATGCAGAGCTGGCTGGGGTGCAGGTCCAGTCCTTCCGGGAGGCGGGGGCGGTCAGAGTTCTCTCTCAGGGTCCTTTCCAGCCAGAGCTGTTTATGCTGGGCCGGAGGGACCTGTCAGCTGGGGACATTCAAGACCCGAGAGCAATGCAGACCTTCAGAAACAGGCTGCGGTTCACTTAAAACAAGCTCAACAACTCCTTTGGTTATAGGGGAATGAATTTTCAAAACAAAGCTGAGCAAATCTCAGCATAGCAGGCCACAGCATCTAGAGGCTTATAGAACCAC